CGAATAATTACTGCTGAACAGTTCGCAAGTTGGAACTCATTTTACTCAGAGGTTTGAACAAAACACGGGGACTGGTCTCTGCATGATGTATTTACCTTACGAACAACTTCCAGTCCCACAATGTTTATATATCTATCAACTATCAAGAACAAGAATACAAATAGGAATACGTTGTCACTGATTAGTATTATTTTATTATTATTATTATTTATATTAATATTATTAGATCAGCGATTTTGAAACTAGCTTGAAGCATGATAGAAAACATAATTAAAACTATATTCATCACAAAAGGGTTGTGACAAAATTCATCTATCGCTAGTCCCCCCACTAGGGAGTCCCTGTGTTGTAGGTAACTAGATAACAATAATTACATGGTACATGTTTTAAACAGTTTTGCTGAAAAAGTAATTTTAGTTTTACAACTAAGTCTCATAAGGCATAATAAATAAATCCTAGACTAATCTAATAAATATAGACATTACAAAATTGTATTGTTGTCTGTTTTTTATTTGCCGATTCGAAGAATACGCCAATTAAATATTTACGCTCGCCTACATGTAATATTTTGAAAAAAAAACAACAACTTTAGCTGCGTTTCACCTTTGCTCTATGGCACAGGTATTACAGTAACTATGTCATGGACTACAACTACTCTAAGGTATGTTTCTTATAACTGTACATTGATAACATTTCGCATGCACTTCGATAATTTAAAAACCTATACAATAGTAATCTAGTTGACTGTTTTGTTTTTTAACTTTATTTGTTTGCCTTCTCAATTATGTACTTTTTATTATGTATGACTTTGCTGTGGAATGGAAGCCTAGTTATCCATATCACAGGTTCTAGTTTGGAAACCAGTCTCCCAATTCCTTCTTAACTGTAATCGTATTTGTTTGTTTCAAATGTTGTATGAGAGGAAAATAAAGACATTATTATTAATATTCATTCAAACTCAAAATGACTTTTTTCATATAGGTAACCAACTCCACTTATGAACGTCAACAGAAGAGATGTTAAATTGATTCTAAATTTACATTTACTACCAGTTCGCAAGTCAAGGGCGTCGAGCGGGCAAGAGAGCAAGAAACTCTCCGCCACTCTTTTCAATCGCCAAGTTTTGAGTTATATAAATTGTTTGTAAGGCAGAGCAGCCATAACTAGAGCAAATCAATCCCTAGGATTAGGATCATTTAAATAATCGTCAAAGCTTTATTGATTAATTTAGGTTTGACAAGAGTTTTGAATTTATTCAGCGAAAATTCTCTAATTTCTTGGGAGTTTGTTGTAAAAAAATCCATATAAGCAGTGGTTTATCTTCTGGAGTCTGATAGGTCGCTTACATTTATTCTGTTTCGAATATTATACTGGTGAAAGTCACCATTTGTTTTTAAATCGTATATATTTTTTTGGTACATACAACAAGGCTTCAAGTATATATTGACCAGATAGTGTCATAATATTGAATTGAGGGAACATATAGGTAGATGACACATAGGTGAACAGGTATTTGAAGTCAGTTAATTTTTAAAATAGTCCTCTTGCTCTAAATGGCTGATTATGTGGAAGTTCACACATAGCTATATTTATAACGTCAAACGATATTCATGTCGTATTTACGTGACCTAATTAATTAGTAGGTTAATAATATTAATATACTAACGAAGTAAAGCATTAATTAATTATTATTCCTCAGTAATTAGATCTATGAATGACTCACAGTTAGATAATTAATTTGTCTCATTCAAGAGCTAAATAGATCTTTATAAAGTGAAGCTAATTTAGCCTTTGATTCACCTAAATCTAAACGGTCCCACTAAATCTAAATCTAAACACTTGACAACGTCCGTCTAAGATTTAGACGGACGTTGTCAAGTGATCATCTACAAATTAACTGAATGTAAATTTGTCAGTTCTCAATTCAAGAACTGGCAATAAACTCTCCAACGTGTTTTTTAATCCCCCGATATTTTTATTTACGGTTTTTTGTAAGGAGCATGCTCCTTAAATGATACCTGTTACCTACTTTCCGCGTTAAAGGTTTCCTAGAATGGCGAATTGCTTAAATCGATGAGCAATATGTACTTAATTTAGTGACAGTGGTCGGTGAAGTAACAAGTGGTGGTGGCGAACAGTCGTGAAACAGAGGTGTTGTGGAGTGGATTGCGAGTGAACCGGTAGGTTATATCATATTGTGTCTGTTTATTAATGTGTATTTACTTCGAAATCAAGTGTACGTTAAAGAATATTTAAATTAGAGAGTGGTGAAGTTATGTAGGTTAGATAGCTTTTAATAATAATTAATTAAAAAAAAATATGTACAATAATGTGCTACAGTCATGATGAAGGTAATAGTGACCAAAAACTAAATAACAAACAAAATGTAAACTTAACTTTGATTAAGTATTAATACAAAAGTAAACTAAATAAAATAAACTAATAATTATTGCTGGATTAGGGCCGTTAGAGAAAACATTTTAACTGATCCTAAGTTATTATTAAGTTTATTACATTTTTTGAATACAAGCGCGGGTTCGTTTTACACTCGCGACTTTAAATTAATGTTAATTTGCGTTTAATATCAACAGTATGTACTTACTTAAAAGTATAAAATACGGAAACTTTAATGATAGTAAAGAACATCTTATCGCTAACGAAAGAACACTTTCTGGTGTTTTTTTATGTACGACGTACTTCTTCATAAAAATATTTACTTATGAATAAAATTTTAAATCATTATTCAATTACATAATTCAATCCGACTAATTTGGGCTTCCATTTCTGGGGAAACATCAATGGTGGACCGTGGAAGACACAGAAAGTACACCACGTTGCCCTATTCCCCACTGGTTTTTGTACGAGTATGTATATATTGCTCTAAGGGTAATTCGGAGTTTGGATCAACCTGTAACTAAGACTCCTTTATGTCCTAATACTGAAGAGTGAATAGCGCTAAGTATTATCAAGGCATTAGAAACGTCAACCTTTGTATTTATTTATTAATACTTCGTTGCAATACGATAACAACTAGCGGCTTTATCGCTTTCGAGCGATCTCTTCCAGGCAACCACTTGTTTAATGCAATAAATACGCGCTCATATCCGTTAAGACATGTAACCGTTAAAATTAATAATTCATCACTTAACGATAAATGCTAGAACAATTCAATCATTTGTATTTTCAAAAGTATTCAAATGTCTTCCGAGCCTTACCTGGCTAATTGAATCGCTTTCAATAACAAAGACCTATCCTAATTGGCAATTCTGTAATGCGATTTTTATTTTCTTTAATTATACATTTTGCCATTGTATTTTCAAGTTTCCGGATCTCAATACTCTTGCAAATTGACGGTCTCGCGCTTGCGGAATTATGTCGTAATGTACTTTCGAAGGCTGTTATATTAAGTTATGCAAGGAACTACAGATTTCCGGGAATTCATACTTTATATTTACCTTTGTCCTGCGGTTTTACCTACGTTAATTCAGTGGTAGTTTTATACATACAGTCTTTGTCAACATATAGGTTAAAAAATTTTTTTATTCGAACTTGGTGATGAGCTGGTTATTAATTAATCAAATGTTATAATGAATTTCACATAAATTTAATAAATAATTGAACGGTGTTAAATGCAATATCGTAGAAAAAACTACATGTGAGCAAAAAATTGTAAAGGTCCTATCCTTGACTTAAGTTCGGAAGGCTTGTTCATTAAGCAATTAAATAGTTACTTATTATTTAAATTATAAGATTTAAACTTGAATATTTATTTTAAAAAAATTAAGTTGCGATCGGTCAATCGTTTAAATCGTTACTTGAAGTTTTGTTCCTGATCTCATTAATATATCATTTATGAAGTTCCTTTATCAATTTTTATAATGCAAAAAACGTTTTTAAATTTAGTGTAGCCTGTCTATTAATAGATTCATAGTTTTTGAAACATTGTAAGAGTCTTCAGACATATATTTAATGACTATACATGCCTTTTTTATTGACATTTGTAGACAATTTCCAATATGTAACGGACATACAAAAACTTGAGATATAAAAGCGAATAAATTCACGTACGAACATAAAGTCAATGTTGCTACCCTCTTTTTCTAAGGAAAAGAGAATCTAAGGGATATTACATTTCTTATACCCACTTTATTATTGTTTATTGTTAAAGGGGCATTCACCTATAACAATGGGGAACAAAAGCAATTGTAATTGAAACTGTAAGTGACTGTGAGGATGTCTGTGTACCATAAAAGTGAAAGGATACGATTATAAGCTGTGACATAAGTTGTATTTATGTAGTCAAACGACTTAAATACATGTTACGTAAAATTGAACACACAATTAAATATGTGGTGAAGAATTCATCGAATAACAATTGAACAGCGAATAAAAGTCTTCTTTTGTTTCTACAATGTATCATTTGAACTACTAAACTACTACTATATTATGTTTATTAGTCAAAATAAACATTGCTAATACACAACAGCTATGTTCTAAGATCTTAAATATATTTTAATAGAAAATATAGCAAAAATGAGGTGAATTTTAATATGTGCATTAGGTTAAACTTACGAACATAATATGTTAGGTCAACAGGTGGATCTTATTATGTAACGCTGTCTAGGACAAGATTATGCACAACTTTGTGCAGCTTCTAACCGTTTCTCTTTAGCCCAAATAAAAATATTTAAATGAACAAAATTAATAGATAATTACATACTAAGCTGATAAACAATTATATTAGGGTGATTTCTTCTATCTTTATCTATATAGACACATTTTATACCGTTTAAAACGAGATGTATTAAATCAATGTAAATTTATTTAAATACATAAGCGCTATGATTCAACTTTAGATATTCGTGTCAAAGACACCTCGTGATCATGCGGGCATGGTTGCGTGACGAATATCTGCGTAACTGTACGTAATCATTATTTGAAGATTATAATAACTTAAGTTGAGAAACAAATAAGTATTTAAATGTTTTTAATTTCAGAAAATGTCCCTGTTGTGGTGCTGTGTTGTAGCAGCATTCCTAGCAACAATCAACGCTGCAATCGATGTTGAGAAAACAGTTAAACAAGTACAAAGTATACTAACATCGAATGATCTATTACCAAGATTGAGTAGAGACGAAATATTACAACTATTAAATGATATACGCGAAGAAGACGCTAAGACAACAACGCCAAAAGCACGGCTAACATCGAGAGAACTAAAAACTACAACGCCTTATAGAATTGAAGATGAAAATGAAATTAACCCAGTAACCCAGTCACCAGAAAAATTCAAAGAAAAAAAAGTACAGTTTTCATCGATGTCTGGAGCAAAAATAGAGAGCACTACAAAATCTAGCGCCCAAACTTTAACTGTCGTGTTTCCGTATACGCCACGAGACGGATCGTCTTTACAAGAGCTGTACACTCGTCCTCCACGAATTGAAGTCGTGCAAGAAAACCTGACACCTAAACCTTTAAGAAAACAAAAATCGGCAAACAGTCTTAAAGAAAAATTAACAAACAATGCAAAAGTAGCAACTGAGCCAAAATCAGACTTTCCAGCTGAATTACAAGCATTTTTAGACGCACATGGCTTAAAAGGAAATCCAGAGAAAGATCACTTTTTATTACCGCTGGATGGTTTTAAACCCCTACCCCCAGCTAAAATTATAGATGGTAATGTAGACCTACCAGAAAATATTCTACTTACTTACGATTTGATTTCACCTGCCGATTTAAAAGCTGCCACCGCAAGTAAAAATTCAGAAAGTAGTTTCCTCTATGAACCGTTGCAACCAGAATATCCATTTGAGCTGGATACAGCTGCATCAAACTCGAAGGAAACAGTGTTGCCTCTTGATTTACCGATTAGAAAACCAAAATCCATTCCACAACCCAACTACGAACCAATTGACTATGATTCAGTCAAAGTAATTCCTTTAAATATGGGTCTTGATCCAATAGAACAAGAAAAAGCTGTATTGCAAAGTGATCCTGCAAAGAGACAAACTAATGAAACAGAAACAACTGACGCTAAAAATATAGAGTTAACTACAACCGTGACATCAGATAGCAAAAGTGATGCATCCGACTCAGCATCTGTAGGATCAGATGCTGGCGCATCTATATCAGACCTTGAAGATTCATTTGGAGGTCCGGCACCCGAAACTCCTGGAGACTCAGAAATACCACCACCAAAGAAAAACGGCTTCTACTGGATGGTAGATTGGAATAGCTTTTTAGAAGTAGGAGACGGCGATACCAAAGTCAACATTCGTTTTGAACCAAAATTAGGCGATCCACAAATGTTTTTGCCTATAACTGTGCCGTAATTGTTGTTTAGGTTTGAGTAGTATTCTAGTCTTACGGGTAAGGGTGAGTAAGTAACGTATATTTTATTTGCGCGAAAAAGTCGTTTCGTTTTAGTACTGTGTACTATGGAAAACAGCATATTAGCTTCACAAAGATTACTTTATTTTTATACTTATAAATTATTCGTTAGCTTAAGCGAAGGCTTTATCGCTTGCCCCGGGGAACAAAGTCGTAAAAGGAAAATCTATTTTTTTTCAGGAAAAATAAAAGAAGGTAATGCTATTATCACTAGGATACTAAGTACATTACATATAGCTCTCATTTGAAATATATGTATTACTTTTTTTGATAATCTTGACGAATCTAGAACGTAATAATTTATTACCACTCTTTATTTGTTTTTAAACTGTCGCATTAACTTTTATGATTATTTGGTAGAGTTACAATCTAAACTTAAACAATCTTTATGGTTCTTGCTTATTTATTTATCTTTTAAAAAAAATTAGGTAAACGAGTATTACTAACATTTTGTACAAAATAATTTCCGTAGAATAAATACATCCTCGTGTTTCTTATAATTAAATGTCATGGAAAAAAAGAAAAAAAAAAGTTACAACACCCAACTAAGTCAAAAATGACAAAACATTAATACAGTAGTGGTTTACGACTTTGTTACCCGAAGCAAGCGATACATTAACATCTTTTAATAGATTGCAAATTACGATTAAGAGTGAAATCGATGGAATGCAGTGTCTGCTAGACCAGCAAGTTAATGAAAGTGAATTAGCATCGCGTGCACCGTGCAACGATACACTAAATGATATGCCATTTGTATATAGTTATCTACGTAGTGTATTAAATTTGTATTATTTAATTCTCTTTCATTTACATACAATTTTCAAAGTAGCGTTTAAGAAGCATATGAAATCGCTTTTAATATTGGTTGGGCGTTTGAATCAGTACTTGCGCGTACAATGAAGGAAAACAGTGTGGAAAACAGCATGTAATAGCCAAAAACTACGGCGTGTGCACATAAGGCTGATCACCTACTTGTACTTGATGTGACCACGAAAATTTATGTATAAACCTGAAGCTTTTGTTTGCAACAGTTATTTTATATAATACGTATTCAATAGAAAACAATGTAAATTAAAGTTCAGTTTAGATTGATTATAATTTTATTATTAACAACAGACTCGCGTCAAATGTAAAACATATTTCTTCCTAGAAATGTCCTCATTCAATACAAAATTCAAAAGCATTTACTATTCTTAATACATAACATAATTTGTTCAAAAGTAATTAATGATATCTGTAGCTGTTTCTATAAAAATGATTAAACAATGCCTATGAAAATAACGAAATCACATGTATTTAATTTGATTTAGTATTAATTACCACGAGAGTACATTTACGTACATTTACATTATTACAAAATGCTAGTAATAAATTACTGTTATGAAAGTAAATATTATTATTTTAGATCGATTTTATACTTACTATATCTTAGCAATAAATTTAATACTAAGAAACTCTAAACTACCAACAAACTTAAATTAATAGTCATGAATATTCTGGCTATTTTCAATAATAATTTACATTTGACCTCGTCTCGCAGCTAAGGTTCTATAATATTGTGATCATTTTTATATCATAAATGTACTTCATCAAAGTTTAAAGCCAATTTCATTTATATATTAGATATTTAAAGATTTTGTCGTTAATATCAATATTTTACACTCACATTGACGTTAAAGTAGATTTTACAGCGCACGTCTTACAATGACTAGTTAGGGAAGAGTCATCTCAGAGAACATCTCACCTCAGAGAACACCTCACCTCAGAGAACATCTCACCTCAGAGAACACCCCACCTCCGAGAACACCTCACCTCAGAAATGAGTATCACGCGGTACTAGGCTACCAGAAACACGAAAACAGCACAATACAATGTTCACTTTAAGCGAAAAGTATTTAGAGACAGTCGTTCAGAACAAACTATAGGATTAGGTTCAGTGATAAAGCGAGTAAATCACTTACTGGTCTAATTTTATGTCTCGAGTTAGCACCTGGCAAGCAGCCAGGGTCAACTTTGACCTACATAGTAGCTTAAGTTGAGTCGTTGGCATCCGACGTAAAATTTCAACCGTCTGTACGTTTCTCAACGTTATATGGATTATCGTTATTGCTCAGCTCAGATTTGATTTTAGGATACTATGAGAGACGCTACGCTATGAGATTGATACGTTTATATAGAAAAGGTAAGTCTGACATAGAAAGCACCCTGTCTTGGATTTGCATGACTTGATAATTATGGAACTCAGAGATTATCTAGCATTCTAATCGGAAAGAATTTCTAAAAAAAATTGAAGTCTGTTTTTTTATGCAATAGCAGGCAAACGGGACATCAGGTGATGTTAAGTGATACCGTCGCCCATAGACACTTACATTGCCAGAGAGCTGTGAAGTGCGTTGAAGCTCTTATCTTGAGGGACCCTTGAAGGAACATTTAGATAGTATGGAGAAGTTTTCTTCGTATGACTTTGATGCCATAGGGTAGCCAAAGCATATAGTATAATGAAATGATAGATATAGCGTTCTTCAATTCGACAGTAATAGAAGTGTAATGATTAAAAGCATTTACTCATTTTTAATAGTATATAATTGCGCCATCGCCTGGTCGTGGTATATATAACTTATAGCTACACAAATTTTTGTATACATGGTGCCCATCAGTGTGAAATGGAGCCGAAAATATCTAGTAGCCGGCGCCTTTAATATAAAAATGTATTACATTTTTCAGCGGGCAAGATTTCGAATAGGCATTTTAATTAGATTGCTATGCAATTTTTAATAGGCGTTAACGAATTTAGATTAAAACCTTAATGTTGCTTCGAGCTACTTGTATGTATTAGATTTTTCAACCAAAAAAAAATTTAACAAACACTATTATCATTTTCCAGAAAGAAAACCGACATCTTCCTTATAGGGCTACCATTTCCTAGAAAAATTGCAAGAGTTTATATTTATCGGCGCCATATCGAAGTAGAACGCGAGAACTTTTGAATTTCAACGTTCTTATAGACCAATGTGTACCAAAATACATGAATAATATTAAAAGACGATCAATGAAGCCACTTGTGTTAAATTGAAACAAGTATTAAAATTTTACAACAAAAAGTTTTTCTCAAGTTTTTGATGAAAAACGTCGCCTGAAAGTAGAGCAAAGTTATAGAGCCTTCATTAATCAAAGGAGCACTTAAGTATCGGACGTCATCTTAAAGCAGTTTCCAAGTGATTTTTATTTTGTAATCTAAATACAACTTAAATTATAAAAAACTAAAGAACAAAACAATTTCAAGTAGAATTGTTGTGCTTGTATGAGATTTATCACTCATAAAAAGTTTCATTTAAATAAATGCTTTCTCTGTTCGGTAGATCATCATCGGACGTCGAGGCAGAATACGAAATTCCACCTCGACGTCCGCCGTTCTACTACTGAGCGTTTTTCAAGGCAGTTTTTGCCGCGCAAAAAATTTTTTGGGATGGACATTGGACACCCTTTATTACTTAGAGGGTTGAAAGATAGTAGCCGATTTTCAGACTTCCTGAATATGCATAGAAAATTTCATAAGATCGGTCAAGCCGTTTCGTAGGAGTATGGGAACGAACATTGTGGAACGAGAATTTTATATATTATGTATATAGAGATACACATATTTTGTGACAAAGTTAAGAATTGTAAACGTCCCCAAATGATCAAGGAAAGTTTTCGTAAATTTGTTATAAGTTTTCACATACCACAAATCTCTTTTTGGCAATAAAATGCGAAGCAGTGATAATTGTATTAGGCCCCAAAGTTTTCTCTGTGCTTCATAAAAAATATTATATGCTTTTCTTAAACGGCAGAGATATAAGTCTACAAGTTTGATGTTCTTCCCTGATGATTTTTTTATATAATAAGAGGCAAAACGGGCAGGAGGTTCACCTGATGTTAAGTAATACCGCCGCCCATGGACACACACATTTCCAGAAGGCTCGTAGGTGGAGTGCTGGCAGGTAAGAATTGGTAAGCTCTTTTCTTGACCCTAAGTCGAATTGGTTAAGAATTACGTCAGTGGGCAACTGGTTCCACATAGTGGTGGTAGTGTGTAGTGGTGTAGTGGTGCGCTGCAAAAACTGCCTTAAAAACGCTCAGTTGTGGAATGACGGACATCAAGGTGATACAAGTGGTATTCCTGCTAACTTTATCACTCTTGGGTCGTGGGGTTCAAGTGCAGAATGCGCTAATTAGATATTTAAGTTGTCGCCTGGTAGCTAGTATGATAGTAGATATGTGACCCCAGAGCTGGTGATTTCCTCGCTCAATGAATAAGTATACAGCTAGGAAACCAGCATTAAACACCAAAATTTTTTAGTTTACTATTTATCCATTTGTAATTAAAAATATTACTGTGTAGGATAAGAATATTTTTACCAGGGTAGTGTAGGGTAATAAATTATTAGTGTCATTAAATATAGCATTAATAATAGTATAGAACATTTTAAAACCATAAAAAGATGGCAGCCACCAATGATCACCTACCTTTGTCTCACCTAAGTACCTTGGAAAGTATGTGCAAGTTACACAGTAAGAACCCTTTACCAAACTCTTTTATTTACTCTGAATTAATAAAAATACAAATCACTACTTTTTTTTAGGTTTGTGCCTCAAATGTCTGTATCTGTTTCATTTTTTTTTTTTTTTTTTTTTTTTTATATGTAATAGGAGGCAAACGGGCAGGAGGCTCACCTGATGTTAAGTGACACCGCCGCCCATGGACACTCACAATGCCAGAAGGCTCGCAAGTGCGTTGCCGGCCTTTCAAAAATTGGTACGCTCTTTTCTTGAAGGACCCTAAGTCGAATTGGTTCGGAAATACTTCTGTGGGCAGCTGGTTCCACATAGTGGTGGTGCGCGGCAAAAACTGCCTTAGAAAACGCTCTGTTGTGGAACGACGGACGTCGAGGTGATACGGATG